TTAGCAATCTTGATTCCAGTTTGTGCTCTATCCAGTCTGGAATATCGCATGATGTATTCTGCTGCTGCTGCTGCTAAGTCCTTTTAGTCATGTCCGACTCTGTGCGACGCCATAGACGGCAGCCCACCAGGCTCCCCCGTCCCTGGGATTCTCCAGGCAAGAACACTGGAGTGGGTTGCCATTTCCTTCTCCAATGTATGCATGCATGCATGCATGCTAAGTTGGTTCAGTTGTGTTCAACTCTTTGAGACTCTATGGACTGTAGCCCACCAGGTTCCTCCGTCCACAGGATTCTCCAGGCAAGATGACTGTATTCTACGTATAAGTTAAATAAGCAGGGTGACAATACATAACCTTCAGGTACTCCTTTCTCGATTTGGAACCAGTCTGTTGTTCCATGTCCAGTTCTAACTGTTGCTTCCTGACCTGCCTACATGTTTCTCAGGAGGCAGGTAAGGTGGTCTGGTATTCCCAACTCTTTAAGAATTTTACACAATTTGTTTTGATCCACACAAAGGCTTTGGTGTAGTCAATAAAGCAGATGTTTTTCTGGAACTCTCTTGCTTTTTCAATGATCGTATGGATGTTGGCAATTTAATTTCTGGTTCCTCTGCCTTTTCTAAATCCAGCTTGAACATCTGGAAGTTCATGGTTCACATACAGTTGAAGCCTGGCTTGGAGAATTTTGAGCATTACTTTGCTAGCGTGTGAGATGAGTGCAATTGTGTGGCTGTTTGAACATTCTTTGGGATTGCCTTTCTTTGGGATTGGAATGAAAACTGACCTTTTCCAGTCCTGTGGCCACTGCTGAGTTTTCCACATTTGCTGGCATATTGGGTACAACACTTCAATAGCATCATCTTTTAGGAATTGAAATAAGTCATCTGGAATTCCATCACCTCCACTAGCTTAGTTCATAGTGATGCTTCTTAAGGCCCACTTGACTTCACACTGCAAGATGTCTGGCTCTAGTTGAATGATCATACCATTGGGTTTACCTGTGTCATTAAGATCTTTTTTGCATAGTTCTGTGTATTCTTGCCACCTCTTCTTCATATCCCACCATCACTGCATAAAAAGACACACTGGTATTCAACAGAAGTTCCTCAGGTTAAGACTTATCCCCTCACTCCTCCATCTCGAATCTGAAATTCAGCCACACTGAACTGATGCCAGTTATTTCAGAGGCCATATACTTTCTCTCTCAGTCACTCACTCCTAACTCCAATATCATATATTTAGGACATATTCATATTTTAGTGAGGGATAGCATTCTACTAAATGCTTACTAATTCTATCTACTTTTTTGGGTGGAGGGTTACACACAGCGTGGCTTGATGGATAGTAATTCCCTAAAAGTGAAAGTGAAGTTGTTCAATCTTGTCTGACTCTTTGGGACCCTGTGGACTGGAGCCTACCAGGCTCCTCCATCCATGGGATTCTTACTGGATGGGATTCTTACTGGAGTGGGTTGCTATTTCCTTCTCCAGGGGATCTTCCCGACCCAGGGATCAAACGTGGGTCTCCTGCATTGTAGGCAGATGCTTTAACCTCTAAGCCACCACGAGTAATTCCTTGACTAGGGATCAAACCCTGGCTCTTGGTTGTGAAAGAATAGTCCTAACCACTTGGAATCCCCTGCCCTCTATCTACTGAAAGAGCACGCCTAGAAACGCTGGGCTGGAGGGAGCACAAGCTGGAATCAAGATTGCCAGGAGAAATATCAATAACCTCAGATATGCAGATGACATCAACCTTATGGCAGGAAGTGAAGAAGAACTAAAGAGCCTCTTGATGAAAGTGAAAGAGGAGAGTGAAAAAGTTGGCTTAAAGTTCAACATTCAGAAAACTAAGATCCTGGCATCCAGTCCCATCACTTCATGGCAGATAGATGGGGAAACAGTGGAAACAGTGGCTGACTTTATTTTTCTGGGTTCCAAAATCACTGTAGATGGTGATTACAGCAATGAAATTAAAAGATGCTTTCTCCTTGGAAGGAAAGTTATGGCCAACCTAGATAGCACATTAAAAAGCAGAGACATTATTTTGCCAACAAAGGTCCATCTAGTCAAGGCTATGGTTTTTCCAGTGGTCATGTATGGATGTGAGAGTTGGACTGTGAAGAAAGCTGAGCGCCAAAAAATTGATGCTTTTGAACTGTGGTGTTGGAGAAGACTCTTGAGAGTCCCCAGTCCATCCTAAAGGAGATCAGTCCTAGGTGTTCGTTGGATGAACTGATGTTGAAGCTGAAACTCCAATATTTTGGCCACCTGATGCAAAGAGCTGACTCATTGGAAAAGACCCTGCTGCTGGGAAATATTGAGGGCAGGAGGAGAAGGGTATGACAGAGGATGAGATGATGCAAAGAGCTGACTCATTGGAAAAGACCCTGCTGCTGGGAAATATTGAGGGCAGGAGGAGAAGGGTATGACAGAGGATGAGATGGATGGATGGCATCATTGACTTGATGGACATGGGTGTGGGTGGACTCCAGGGGTTGGTGATGGACAGGAAGGCCTGTCGTGCTGTGGTTCATGGGGTCACAAAGAGTCGGACATGACTAACCGACTGAACTGAACTGATGAGATTTTTTTAATCTCTTCAACTCTCTATTCATCTACCCAGGTTACCTACTCAAAGTGTATTGTAACCACGTCATAAGCAGTTTTCATGAGTCTGTAAGATTGTAAAGGCAGAAACATACTAATCCATTTAGTAATCTTAGAACTGGACAAGGCCTGACTAGAGGTAACCAGTAACAGTTTACTGAAAACATGAATGGATGAATGAATAAACAAATAGATCAACTGAATAACTTTAGAAACAAGGAAATTGAGAGACAGCTTGATTTAGAGACTTGCCTGAGACAACTTGTTGAGGAAAAACTGCATTATAACTTACCAGATGACAATTATTATTCATCATGCAGTGTTCCTCCCCTTCTGATATCTTGACAGCAGTACCAGAAAAATCTAAGTATCAATATTATTAGTTTATAACTAAATCTTAGCTACAATAGGCCAGTAAGAATAATATGTTATGTTTTTTAATTGCTTTATTTAAACCAACTATGTACTTTGGCCACCTGATACAAAGAGCTGACTCTTGCAGAAGACCCTGATTCTGGGAAAGACTGAAGCCATGAGGAGAAGGGGATGACAGAAAATGAGATGATTGGATGGCATCACCAACTCAATGGACATGAGTTTGAGCAAGCTCCAGGAGTTGGTGATGGACAGGGAAGCCTGGTGTGCTGCAGTCCATGGGGTTGCAAAGAGTCAGACACGACTGAACTGAATTGAACAATCTGAATTTAGTGATCTCTGCCTCATGCCTAAGGTGGAGAACAGCTTTGGCAGCTATGATTGAGTAACAGCCTTTTTTATAAAATAACTAGGCTGCCCACTTAGCCCTCTTCTCCACAGTTTCTTGAATACTTGAGTTTTCCTGACTTCCTCCAGTAATTTGTTGAGGTGGTTGTTGTTAAGTTTGGAGAAGTACAGCCAGCTGGCCAGAATCTGATTCCCATGTGTCCTCAATAATTTTTATTCCTCTAAGGGCTAGCCTATCCTTTCAAACCTAACTACACATGAGAATCACCAGGGTAATTAAAAAAAAAAAAAACCAGTGGGTAACACTATAACAAAAGATAGTGATGAAATTGTTCAGGGGTGGCTCTTGGGCAATAATAGGTTATCAAAACTCCTATCTGATTCCAATGTGTGGTTAGGCCTGGCCAAGTCCATTCTTGACTTTTCCATGTGGAATACCAGAATGGCCTCACCTTTTATTTGATTTACACATTTCTGCACACAACTTCCGGGGGCAAGAGATGATGCATGCCAATATATAATGACTATTCAAATGCAGAAAGAATGATGCATTTGAAAAGACTGTTCTGTCCTTGTGTTCAGTTTGGGAATGTGGCTGGTCAGTAATGTCTATGGGGGCCAATGGGAAGATAGGGCGTCAATGGGAAGATAAATAACCATTGGATTCCCTACCATCAATGTCTGATCTTGTCTTGGAAAGAACATACTGGAATCCTTTACAGATTTAGTTTTGAGAAAGCCCCTCAGTTTCTCCTGGAAGTTGAGGCATGTGCTGGAAGTGTCTGAATACAGAACAAAGAACCATTTCCCCTAATTTATTTTCAATTCCTGCATATTTTTAAACTCAGTTCCCATTCCCTTAAACTCCTTGCATTGAATATGTGACCTGAATAAGTCCTACAGCAATGTTAAATGTTTAAAAAGATATTGCTTGTAGGCAGCCCTCCAGACTCCTCAGTCCATGGGATTCTCCAGGCAAGAATACTGGAGTAGGTTGTCATTCCCTTCTCCAGGGGATCTTCGCAACCCATGGATTGAACCTGGGTCTCCCACATTGCAGGCAGATTCTTTACCGTTTGAGCCACAAGGGAAGCCCAGTATTAACATGGAAGATTAATGAAAAATGAACAATGAGCTATACTAAGGCGGCAAAACAGAGAGATAGCAGCACTCTAATGCCTTATGACTACCTAATCAGTGATGATATCAATTCTGGTGTTGGTGGAGATTTAGGCAAAGCCAACTGCAACTAACGTACCAGCCAATTCACCTGTCTTTTCTATGCCTCCTTTTCAGAGAAGTTGCTGTAGCTCATAATATCCGTCGACTGAGCAGTAGGTCTGGAGAAACCCCCACCTCTGGCCATTGCTGACTGGACAAGAACAGACATTTGGTTTAAGGCTACTCACTTTATTGACTGGCTAGTGACCAGCCGGCTTCTCTTCCAATCATTCATACTAATGGTGTCAGAGATATGAGGGGGGGTTTTGGACACTGAAACCTTAAGGTTATATATACATTCTGTGGGCTAATGACCAATTTCACCAATGTGCAGGTTGGTCATTAAACAGAAAACTGTGGTTCCAAATTAAATGTACAATGAATTGGATATTTGGCTTAAAGAGTGACAGAAAAGCACCCAGTGTTAACTCTCCTTGACATGACCAGGAGCGAGAGGAGAAGCGGAAGGGGACTGGCGTGCTCACCCATCGGCCTGAGCACCAGGATCCCACCCCTGCCGAGCCTTCCAAGGACCCGCACCCCCTGGCCGACGACCTCAAGCTCACAACCCAAACCGCGAGCTTCCACACTCTCCAGGCCTCTACACGGCACACAAGCAGCCCTCGTGCCTCTGCGCCTGAGCGCCCGCGTCCGGGCCGGGGCCGCCATCTTGCGTCTCTACGTCCCTACGTCCCCCTGCTTGGTGCGGGGCCTGCTAGTAGGCGAGCAGCAGGCAGCCCCCAAGTGTATACCTGGTTTCGGGTCGAACGCTGCCAGCTTTCGTTTGCCACCTCCTCGCAGCCTCTGTCTCTCATCGCCTCTTCTCTCCAGACAGCCTCAACGGAGTGAAACAGCCTCTCTTCTTCCCAGCCACCATGCCGGCCCCGCAGCCCGTCGCCAGCACCGGAAACTCTGCTGCCTCCTCCCATGTCCTCTTCCCACTCAGAGGGACTAGCGCATTCCAGACCCCCGGCAGCCACAGGTACTGTGGTCTGTGCACCCTCAGATTCAGTACCCCGTCCACCTTCAGCGCCCACGAGAAGTATTGCTGGTTCTCACACGCCACGGAGCACGTGAAACGAGCTAGGCGCCACAGCATGAAGTGGTGTCCCATATACACGGCCCACTTGTCTCTCCAGCTGCAGGGCTGGCTTGCTCATAGGCTTGCAGAGAAGGGACAGACCCCTGACTGCTGAGATTCTTGCTTCTGGAACATCATCAAGCACAGGCCTCGGTGGCAGGGTCCTCCTGGATCCTTGGCTCTTAATAAAAATGTTCTGTTCAGTGAGCCAGCCTTAATGAACAGAAGCTTTTGGAGCCGCTCCTGGGACTTCTGATGACTTTTTGGCTGCTGGGAATTCTTCTATGTTTCCTTCGAATTAATTCGGGAGATTCCCGTATTCGTTTTTACCTCAGCTACTTTTGGTTCATTAAACTAACACTGCCCTTAATTAGGAAAATAATGAGTTCAAGAAGGTAAATATCTGTACTTTGATTTTCTTTTGGCACAAAAAGATTAGGTTTGGACTAACAAATGTTCAAGAAAGGTTTTTCACCAGAAGATCAGAGTGGAATGAACCACAGGCTTATGGATGGAGGAAAAAGCAGGAGAACTTGAAAAATGAGAAAGACATTTTGAAAGTTCCTGGTACTTCATATCAGTAAGATCTTTCTTGTATAAAAACATCATAATATTTTTTTCCATGGATAGAAATATTTTTTTGATCCTTTAAAAAGGCTGTGTGGGTACACTGCTAAGAAATGCATTTAAAAAAAAAAGAAAAAAATGCTGTAATTTGAAAGAATGGTGGTGATGATGGTGATGATAACAATTATTAATTACATGCCAGGCTCTGAGCCAAAACCACAAAGAACTTCATATGGAAGATAATGTTGAATTCTAACAGCAGTTTTATTAAATAAAAGTTTTATGAATATCATGCCTATTTTATGGTTAAGTAAAGCTGAGGTCACAAAAAGTTGGAGCGACTAAACATAGCACACCACAAAACTAAGCTTAGATTAAATCCTATGTTTTAAGTCATATCGCTGGAATGTGGTTATGCAAATTCTGAAGGAATTGAGTCTGTTTAAGAGGCTGTGATCTTAACCACTCTGCTTTTATACTTGGAGGAAAACTTTCCTCAGTTTCTTGAGTTGGAACATTGTCCAGGGTAGTGGTAAAGCAAACCATCTTGAAAGGGAGAGGCTGGGAGTGTGGCTGTCTGAGCGACAACATTTTGCTACAGCTGGTGTTCTTGGAATGACTAGAGACTTTGTAAGATTTAATTTGAAAAAAAAAGATTGTCTTGACACATCTCAGGAACTTGATCAGGAAAAGAAAGGTAAGTCAGAGGACCATTTCAGTCATTAGAACAAAACAAAGATATGGGCTTGGGTTATGGTTGTCCAGCTTTGTGGAAGTTGGTAAAGGAGAAAAAGAGTTATTGACAATTTTAAATTTTGAGTCTAGTGGACTAAAATATTATGGTGCCCTGGGGAGCAATAGGAAAATTTGAAAGTGTCCATTCTTTTCTATGAGGGAAAGAAAAATAATTTTACTGGTTGTTCAGTCAAATTGCAAGCAAAGATGTGAGATCTTTCTTTTGTTCAGGTGAATTGTTTTCCTCTTCTGTTCTAGACAAGTCTCCTAAGTGTGGAGCTCAGTATCTCACTCCAGCATTTTAGCTGGTCTTCTGTGGTCTTTGTCTTGTTCTTTGGGTCTGTGATTTTTCCTCCTTTATCCATATTTCAATAGCTGGATAGTCTTCTATTGTATTCCCTGATATCCTGTTCTGTTTCCCACAAGGATCCAAGGTTATGGAGATCTGTAGCTCAATGCAGTGGTTGGAGTTTCTAACCAGCAGTAGCTCTTTGGTGCTGACTTTATGTATTGTTGGATCCTTGCTTACTGACTAATATGCCAGTTCTCATGATGTTGTATTTTGCTTACCATCCACTATATTAACTTGGTAACTGTTCCTATATAAGCCTGAATATCATAGATACCTATCTAGTTTCCAGAAAGCAACTATTTCTAGTGGGGCTAATTCTACTTGGGTCACAATCCAAATACTTTTGTTCTCCCATTGGTGCAAAATTCTTTGATTTAATTAACAGATCAGATATAATGTGTTGCTATAAATCTATAGGTTAGTAGGCAGTGTACCAGTGTTTCCTTCCTCTTTTTAAACTTGTAGTCACAAAAAAAGGAAACCACCAATAACCTTAAATTCTTTTCTATCTTACACAGTGAAAGTCATTCTTATGTTTGACTTGACCAATTCTGTCTCCCAAATGTAACTACTACAGAATTTGCTAAATGAATCTTTTCTGATTTCCGCACATTTATACATATCTGCATATGCTCTCTGATACATTTATTATATTCATTAATTAGTTTCTTTGTCTCCAAAACTAGAATCATGATATGTATATAGGTTTGGGTATTTTTATTCACTTAGTTATTATATGTAAGCTTACAAGTCAATATCTCATTTCATTTAATCATTTTATAGTACTCCTTGAATGAGGGTACCGTATTTTTTTTTGTTGTTATTTTACTGATGTTGAAACTGCATGTAATGTTTGCAACCAGTATTGTTCTCTGTGAGAGTGTGATTTGTGTGTGTGTGCTACTTAGGCTAGTATAACTGAAGATTAGATTCTTAAAGGCTGAATTATTGGGGCAAAGAGTAGGCAAATTTAAAAATTACATACATATTCCCAGACTATGCTTTAAAAGTCCTATCTTTTTGCACCAAATATTTGAGTGCCCTTATACCACAGACTTGCCAACATTGAATGCTATCAATGTTTTCATTTAGTTAGGTAGTTGTGTAAAAAAATCTAATATTTTAATTAAAGTAATAAAGATGAGAATCTCTTTATGTTTGCTGAGACATTAATTAGCATCTTCATTTATTTTATTCATTTGTTGTTTACTGAATTTTACTAATTTTACTAATTTAATTGTTTTGTAAATTATTTGCTAAGTTCTATCTCCCAGATTTTACTAAACATTTTAGGCAAGAGCTACTCTTTATTAACATGCTATTTGCATTTTTACTTGGTGTAATTTATTAAGATAAATACATTTTTCTTTTTGAGTGCAGCATTTTAAACTTTGTATTTTAAACAAAGTTTAAAAAAAGTTTAAAAATTTGTATTTTAAACCTAGAATGATTAAAAATGCATTAATGTAACAACACTAGTTTTTTTGGATTTTGCATTAAGCAAGGACTACATGGAGAGATAGACTTCGTTTATCTGAATGGATATACAACAATAAAAAACCCAAACACATGCACATGCTGTTTAAAAACATGTAAAATATATCAGCCTTGTACAGTCTGCTCTTAATTATGTCAGTATGTTAAAGGAAATTTTAAAACTACTTAGCAGACGTAATTGAAATATTTACAAAGAATTAAAAAATTGAGATTATGCTTGCCAGAAGTACTGTGGTATATACAGTTCTTCATATGCTATATTTTTAAGGCACAGCCAGTTTTTAGCATATTTGTGAGAGCCACATATAAACAGATTTACTATGTTATTTCCTTGGAAAAGTATTGTTTATGACTTCATATTGATTATGAATATAACAGTGATTACAGTGGCAATTTAGGGCTAGATTTACAGGCAGCAATGAGATTTCAGTGAATGTGTTTTTAAAAGATGAAGACTGAGGCCTGGAAAGAGAAATAGAAGATGAGAAATTATCATTTCTGGATCTGGAGAGAGATACTCAAAGAGCAAGTCCCAGATTACTATGGGAATCAGGATAAAGATATCAGACTAGGGAAACTTTCCTTCATTCATTTTCTCACCTTTCTTTCAGCTCAATCTCTTTTAATTCCTCTAGGAAAAGGAAATCAGTGGTAGAATTGAATATATGTTTATGCCCATATATCAGTAGACATCTATATCATTCTTCTGTAATTTTTTTCCCTATGACTAAATCAACTGGAAACTTCCTTCACCACTCCAGATGATCTTGGGTTATGAAAAAGGCATCTCTAAGAGAATTTCAGAGCAGAAAATTCTTGCTCTCAGAGAATGATGACCAGCACAAATGTCCATTGTCTCCTAAGTATGTAGTTGGTATGCAGTCAGTTTAAACACTATATACATTAAAATCAATCAATATGTGTGGATTTATCCAGTATTGAATACATGAATAAATGAATTTAAAAAATAAATATGAATGACTTATCCAGTATTTCTTATGTATTTATGATATCCAAAATCACTGCAGATGGTGACTGCAGCCATGAAATTAAAAGACGCTTACTCCTTGGAAGGAAAGTTATGACCAACCTAGATAGCATATTAAAAAGCAGAGACCTTACTTTGCCAACAAAGGTCCGTCTGGTCAAAAAAGGCTATGGTTTTTCCAGTGGTCATGTAGGGATGTGAGAGTTGGACTATGAAGAAAGCTGAGCACCAAAAAATTGATGCTTTTGAACTGTGGTGTTGGAGAAGACTCTTGAGAGTCCTTTGGACTGCAAGGAGATCCAACCAGTCCATCCTAAAGGAGATCCGTCCTGGGTGTTCATTGGAAGGACTGATGCTGAAGTGAAACTCCAATACTTTGGCCACATCATGTGAAGAGTTGACTCATTGGAAGAGACCCTGATGCTGGGAGGGATTGAGGGCAGGAGGAGAAGGGGATGACAGAGGATGAGATGGCTGGATGGCATCACCGACTCGATGGGCGTGAGTTTGAGTAAACTCCGGGAGTTGGTGATGGACAGGGAGGCCTGGCATGCTGCGATTCATGGGGTCGCAAAGAGTCGGACACGACTGAGCAACTGAACTGAACTGAGAGAGTGCAATGGTGAGTCAAACCAGCAAGTTTCTTTCATGAAACTCAAATATATATTACTATATAAAGAATCGAGTGGTATGGTATAATTCATGGTCTTTGAAGTCTCAGATATTTAGTCTTGTCCCAGAATTGTCACTTACTAGCTATATGACCTTGGACAGTTTATTTGACTTCTCTAAGTGGTCTTAATTGTTTTGTCAGAGATTATTTCCTCCTGTCATTCCAGAAGGTATAATAGGAAGAACAGTGAACTAGAAGTAGAATCTTGACTTGTTGGTGTCCACTCCTGCCTCCTTTCTCCTGCTCACTCTGGGCCTCGGTTTCCTTATCTGTGAGAGAAGATTGGATCGGGTAAGCTACTTC